AAATCCCTCTTTCCCTCTGAGCTTCCTGGTGTCCTGTCATTCATTAAGTGCTCCCTTGACTTGTTGCCTCTTAGAGTCATAGAGCTGTACAGCACGGAAACAGACCCTTCAGTCCAACACATCCATGCCGACCAGATATTCTAAATTAATCTAGCCCCATTTGCCAGCATTTGGCCCATATCCCTCTAAACCTTTCCTATTCATATACCTTTTAAATATTGTAATGTACCAGCCTCCATCACTTCCCCAGAAGCTCATTCCATACACGCACCACTCTCTGTGAAAAAAAAAAAGCCCCTTAGGCCCTTGTGGGGAGAAATTTCAGAAGTCTGAAGTGCAAAGAGACGTGGGAGGTCTAGTCCAGGATTCTCTCAAGGTAAACTTGCAGGTTGAGTCAGTAGTCAGGAAGGCAAATGCGATGTTGGCATTTATTTTGAGAGGACTTGAATATAAAAGCAGGGATGTACTTCTGAGGCTTTAAAGGGCTCTGGTCAGGCCACATTTGGAGTATTGTGTGCAGTTTTGGACCCCATATCTCAGGAAGGATGTACTGGCCCTGGAGCGGGTTCAGAGGAGGTTCACGAGAATGGTCCCAGGAATGGAAAGGTGAACATATGAGGAAAGTTCGAGGACTCTGGGACTATACTCATTGGAGTTTAGAAGGATGAGGGGGGATCTAATTGAAACATACAGAATACTGAATGGCCTGGACAAAGTGGATGTTGGGAAGATGTTTCCATTGGTAGGAGAGACTAGGACCCGAGGGCACAGCCTTAGAGTAAAGGGAAGACCTTTTAGAACGGAGATAAGGAGAAACTTCTTCAGCCAGAGAGTGGTGAATCTTTGGAATTCACTGCCACAGAGGCTGTGGGTCATTGAGTATAGTTAAGACTGAGATAGATAGGTTCTTGATTGTCAAGAGGATCAAAGGTTACGGGGAGAAAGCGGGAGAATGGGGTTGAGGAACTTATCAGGCATGACTGAATGGCAGAACAGACTCGATGGGCCGAATGGGCTAATTTCTGCTCCTTTGTCTTATGGTCTTATGGTCTTATTTTTAAATCTTTCCCCTCTCACCTTAAACCTATGCCCCTCTGGTTTTGGACTCCCCTATCCTGGAGAAAAGACCTTGTCTATGCACCCTGTCCATGCCGCTCATGATTTTATAAACTTCTATACCCCCTCAGTCTCCAACATGCCAGGGAAAATAGCCCCAGCCTATTCAGCCTCTCCCTGTAGCTCTAAACGTTCAACCCCTTGTAAATCTTTTCTGAACCTTTTCAAGTTTCACAACGTCCTTCCTATATGAGGGAGACCAGAAATGAATGCAGTATTCTAAAAGTGGTCTCACCACTCTCCAAAGTGCATCACATTGCATTTATCAGGGTTTAATTCCAGATGCTGACTGATCAGATTAATTTTGGCAACGGATGGGAGTGGCCTGCATGGCATGTCAAATTGTATTCCTAGTTCTAAATACAACAACAGCCGTGCAAAATTTTAAAATAAGGAACCTCTCACCCTCATCATTGGTTATTTCAAGTGGCTTCCGCTTCTTTACGAAAATACAACAGGAGATAAATGACTTGTTAGAAGAAGAACAGTTTGCTTGCTTTGTAAGCTACTGTTTTAATTTCTGGACCTCCACTTGATTCTATTTTACAAAGGAAGAAGAGAAGAGTCCTCAGTGCAAAATGCAGTTAATTATTTGGACGTTCACTGCATACATCACTCTACTCTCTGGTACATTTGTAAGTTTTATCATTCGACTTTGTATCTGAGGTGTTTTTTGTTAGACTTTTGCTTTCAAATCAAGCCTATGCTTGCTATATCCTGTTGTAAAGCACAGGTTTATTTTCTAAATCAGTCATATAGTATGGGCAGGTAATGTCCCCATTTATTCCACATCTGGAACGACTGCAGTGTGTGTGCAGCCACAGAACTGTTAGGCGAGGAATTCCAGAATTTTGACGCTGGCAACATGCTTGTAAATCTTTTCTGAACCCTTTCAAGTTTCACGACATCCTTGCTATAGCAGGGAGGCCAGAAATGAATGCAGTATTCCAAAAGTGGCCTCACCACTCTCCAAAGTGCATCACCTCACATTTATCAGGGTTTTATTCCAGATGCTGACTGATCAGCATGGTGACACTGAAGGAACGGTGATTTATTTCCAAGTCAGGATGGTGAGTGGCTCGGAGGGGAACTTGCAGGGGGTAGTGTTCCCATGTACCTGTTGCCCCTTGTCCTTCTCGAAGGAAGTGGCCGTGGTTTGGAAGGTGGCCTGTAAGGAGAATTTCTGCCGTGCATCTTGTAGATGGTACACGCTGCTGCTTCTGAGCGTCGGTGGGGGAGGGAGTGGGATGTTTGTGGATGTGGTGCCAATTGAGCGGGGGCTGCTTTGTCCTGGATGGTGTCGAGCTTCTTGAGTGTTGTTGGAGCTGCCCCCATCCAGGGGCAAGTGGGGAGTATTCCATCCCACTCCTGACTTGTGCCTTGTCGATGGTGGGACAGGCTTTGGGGGGAGACAGGAGGGGAGTTACTCACTGCAGGATTCCCAGCCTCTGACCTGCTCTTATAACAAGTAACGTCACCATAGTCCAAGAGGATCTTAGGGCTGTTGTTTTATTATAAAGCTGTGACTAATGGTGGCTTTAACCCAAGGGTGTGTCTGAGAAGATAACACTTTCAACTGGTGGTGGACATCTACCTGCTATGGTAACCACATTATGGATATGGCTCTCTAATCTTTCCTTGCATCTAAAATCCCTCATTCTTCGGATCGTTCTAGGAGCCATTTTCAATGGCACGAGGTTCAATAACCAGAGGGACACGGAAGAGAAAGAATCAGCAAGGGAAGCAAAGGGGTAGGGGTGGGGAGGAGGGAATGAGGGCCTTTTTTGACACTGCGAGTTGTTGCGATCTGCGATGTGCTACCTGACAGGGCTGAGGGAGAAGGTTCTAGAGAAGGTTTGAAAACTGGGGAGCAGTTGATGGAAACAGTCCAGGGCCATGAGGGGAAAGAGGCGTAGAACATTGAGTGATGCATGGGAAAAATATCGGCAGGCCCTCAAATATTCCTCATTGATTGCTAATATCTCTGGGAAGCCCGGAGGTTGTAAAAGTGGCAGTTATTTCACGAATATCTCGCATTACGTTATAATTTCAGTGACCGCCCCAGCTCCTCTCCACATGTGGTCTCATCTTCTCTTGTCTTCGCAATATCTATCCATGGTCCTTCTAGAACCTGCATATCTATCCCAATGCAGAATTAGTTCTCCTTCAAGTGAAAAGGTGAGATGAATTTTGCAGTATTTTCTTTCGGACGGGACAGGAAACTTATCAATCTTTGCAGTCAGCAGACTGTGAAGGGAAATGGTTTGTATTAAATTCTGAGACATGTTGCAGAATATCAGGCACTGCACTCAGTTAGTCATACAGATAATAGTGTCTGCCGTGCACCACACCACGCCCCCCAACAAAATATTGCTTCCTTACTGTTTAAATATAGGATTTAGAAACAGAGAAAATAGGAGCTTGAGTAGGCCATTCGGCCCTTCATGCATGCTCTGCTATTCAATTGGATCACAACTGATCGCCCAACTCAGTCCCTGCTCCCCCGTATCCTATGATCCATTTAGCCCTAAGAACTCTATCCAAACCTTTTTGAAGCCATTGAGTTTGACCTCAACCACTTTCTGTGGCAGAGAATCCCAGAAGCTCATGCCCATTTGTTCCCTACTGATACAGTCTGGAACCACAGTCTCAGAATATAGGGGCGCCAATTTCAGACTGAGATGAGGAGGAATTTCTTCTCTCTGAGGGTTTTTTAAGTCTTTGGAACTCCTTGTTGCAAGGAGCTGTAGGGGGAAGGAGTCCTTATGTATATTTAAGGGTGAGATAGATTCCTTATCAGTCAGGGAAACAAGGGTTACAGGGAAAGGACAGAAAAGTGGACATGAGGAATTTTGGATCAGCCATGATCCTGTTGAATATGGGAGCAGGTCTGAGGGGCTGAATGGCCTAATCTTGTTCCGATATCTTATGGTCCTATATGTCGAGGATTTTATGTTTTATTTGAACTCTCCATCTCTGATTCAGTATGTGTCTGCCTCCAATGTCT